TTTTTTTTTCTTTTTTTTTTTTTTTTTTTTTTTTTTTGGTGAACTGGGTTTTGTGCAAAACAAGTTGCTTCTGAGCAACATTTTTCACCCTCAGTGCTGTCAGCTTTTGGAACTGTCCTACACATTGTAGGTGTTTAGTGGGATCCTCCTCATCTCCCCAGGAGGTGTCAGTAGCAAACCCTAGGGTTGTAACCAAGAAACTCCAGATATTACTGGATGTTGTGGGGGATCGCCCTCAGTTTAAGACCACAGCTTTAGAGTGAAATTGAGGAGCAAAAGAGAAGAAAGAGTGGGAGTTCCACACCTTTAGTGTGGTGAGCTCCTTTCTGGGTTTGCTCAAGGCACTGGCCAAGGGGAAGGGGACCCTAGCTCCTGCTGCCACCTGCTTGACACCAGCCAAAGCCTCCTTGCTAACTGTCTTTGGAGCTTTGAGAGCCCCTGTATTGGGTATGTACTGGAGGCTGGAAGCAGCCAGTGCTCTGAGCTTGGCTGGGGCAGTAACTTCTGCTCTTTTCTCCTTTCCTTCCTTCTTCTCCAGGCGAGGGTTCATTATGGGCATCTGGAATTCCCACACATCTGTGGGCAACATCCTGGGCTCCCTGATCGCCGGCCTCTGGGTGAACAGTCAGTGGGGCTTGTCGTTCATTGTGCCTGGCATTATCACCGGTGCCATGGGCATCTTTACCTTCCTCTTCCTCATCGAGTGTGAGTGGACCGCTCCCTCCCCAAAGAACCCTCAAGTGGAAGAGAGCAGCTGGATGTACTGGGGGGTTGTCTGGTCATGGGGTGGGTGCACCAGCTGTGTGACTCTGAACTTCACTTTTGTCATTTGTAAAGAAGGAATATCTATGCTCTAGGATTTCTGAAGGTTCAAGTGAGACAGTGTCCTCACAGTGCTTGGCCTGCAGTGGGTGCTCAGCTAATACCGGATGGGTCTGGGAAGGGTGGGAAAGAGCAGACGTATCTGAAGCACCAGATTGCTTACATCCTGTGCCGATGGCTATGGTCTTCCCCATTCTCTTACAGGCCTGTGAGTTGGGGAGGCCAAGTGATAGCGCCACTTTATCTGAGCTGCAGTAGTTAACAGTCAGTTGTTAGAAAAGCCAGCCTAGAACCCTTGCCTCCTGAGCCCCGGTGCCCAATCCCTTGTGCTGGGAGGCCATGTGGGAGGTGGTAGGCTATTCCCTACCACCAGCTTAAGCCCCATGTGAAGTGAGAGAGAGCCTGGTCTCTTGGGAAGCTTCCTAGAGGTCATTTTTTTTTTTTAGACCCAGAAGATGTGGACTGCACCCCTCCACAGCACCACGTGAGTATGAGCTCTCCCAGCACTGTCCCTGCCCGCCTCCAGTCAGAGGGGGAGGATTGGGAACCCAGAGCAAGAATTAGGCCCTGGGGTTGGGTCCCCAGCAACCTGACAGCCTAGCAGTCCATCCAGCCCTTCCAAGCTGGGAGCCTAAGTCTTTCACCTGGGCCATCCTTTCAACTAGGAGTGGTGGCACATGGGTGTTCCCACAGTGAGGGCTTCTCTCTTCTGCTCAGGGTGGGCTGGATGACAGCCAGGAAAGCCCTCAGGACCCTGGGAACAGTTCCTACTCTCACAGGGAGAGCAGCATGGAGGCTGCAGCCAGCTGCTCCAAGGAGCCCTGCCCTGAGCCTGCCGCCATCAGCTTCCTGGGGGCGCTCAAGATCCCGGTAAGAAGTTTGTGGAACCTAAGGAAGAGAGGGATTTTTCCAGCAGGTGTCAGGAGACAGAGTGCTGGAAGTGCACGGTGGTTTCCCAGGAGAGCTGGCTGCTGGGGGAGGGCAGTGTGGGAGACCTGTCTGGACACAGCAGACGTATTTCCCCTTTTGAGATTGGGTGTGTATTTGAAGTTGCTTTGTATGGGATAATGGACAGTCCTGGGGTGGTGCTGAACTGTCTCTTGGGGCCACTGCTGGCCAGAGGATCTTGGACCCCTTTTATTGTGTTTTCCGTTCTACTCCCCAGGGTGTGATCGAGTTCTCTTTGTGTCTGCTCTTTGCCAAGTTGGTCAGCTACACCTTCCTCTATTGGCTGCCCCTCTATATCTTCAACGTGGGTAAGTCCCAGGGGAAGAAGAGCTGAGAGGCTGGGGTCTCTGAGGAGGCCCAGGCCACTGATTGCCTGGGAGGCAACCCTGACATTGCTGCATATGATTCCAGTACACAGGCAGGATTTCAGCAGAGCCTCTCCTAAAACTGGAGATTTGTTCAGTTATTTGTTTAAATGGGAAGCTCAGCCCTGTGTACCCCCTAGACTCTGACTCCAGCCCTCCCCTGGAGCTGACTTGGGCATTAGTAGCACAAAGCTCTGTTCTGCAGTCCTGTCTTCTCCTCCAGCCTGCATGTAGGAGAAATCCTCTCGGGGCTGTTTGGCTCAAAGGTATGGGGTTGGGGTGCTAGAAAAGGTCTGTGTGAGCACCTCTCCCAGCCCAAGAGAGGCCCGGCAAGTCACCCCACTGTGTTCAGGTGACCACAGGGCTCTTCTGCCACGAGGTTGATGCCTTTATGTTGGAGTCTGCTAGGCTGCACTGGGTGAACTGCCCCACCTCATAGGCTACTTACTCTCTTCTGCCCCTGCCTTTGCCCAAGGCTGTACAGATGAGGAGAGATGACCTCTGTGGTTAAGAAGGATGCTTCACGTCCACCTGGCCTGGGTCTGCGCTTTTCCATAGGTGGGGTGGCTCCATCAAGGAGTGGCCCACTCCATCTTCCCAGCCCCATGAGACTCAGGCTCCACCTCTCACCCGGGACCTCTCACCCAAGGCTGCTCCACTCCCTGCCAACCTTGGGAGGGACAGTGCTGCCCAGCCACTCACGAACTCACTCTAGATAGGAGACACAGCTGGCTCTTGCCCCTCCACTCCACATGAGGGGCCTCTGTCTGTGACAGGGTAGACTGCTAGGATGGCTTCATAGACTGTGATTTTTGTGGCCTTGGTGCTGACTTCAACTAGGAGTCAACCTTCGGGGTGTGGATGCGGTCAATTCTGGACATTCAGCCAGAGAATGAGGTCCTCTTTTTCCTGCAAGTCTCCTCCTGGCTCTGGGCATTAACAAAGACTAAGGTGGCTGGGAGCAGGCCCTAGAGGGGCCTCCTGCTAGGTCAGGAGTGGAGCAGAGAGAGTGCACAGTGGGCTAAAGCTTGGCGAGAGCAGTTGTGCGCCAAGAGAGAGATGGCCCCCCTGGGGCGGGGTTTTCAGGAGCCAGATCCCAGGCTTGCAGGCTGTTCTGAGAGGTCAGCGTCATCCTGTAGGGGAAGCCTGGAGGCCAGAGCAGGCAAATCCTGAAGTGCCAGACTCACAGAAGCCCCAGCCAAGCCCTGCACCCAGCTCCCTCCTCTGAGGTAGTTGGACTGGGTGAGTGCCCTGCAGGATCCTTCCCAGGGCACTCGGGATGTTTGCCTTGAACCGACATTTGTGTCTGATCATATAATTGCGTTTTCCACAGCTCATTTTGGTGCCAAGGAGGCTGGGGACCTGTCTACACTCTTTGATGTTGGTGGCATCATAGGTGAGGCCCTGACCTGCTCTACGCTAGGCTGCCTTCCCTGCTTCTCTGTAGGGTGCAGAAAGAAGGAGTGGGCCCACTGGGCCATGGGCTCCAGAGAAGAAAGGTGTCCTGAGTGTTTTCTTGTTTCTGCTCCTGCCCAACAGGGTGACCCGAAGAAAGATTGCATTTGTGCTTGATTTCCTGTGGGGATCAGTACAGGGGAGGGAGCAACTCTGCTGAGTCTTGGTGGCAGGCCCAGGCCAGGGCTGGGCATTAGTGGAGGGGTGGTGTGGCCCCGTCTGGGGCCATGTGTGAGTGGGTGTGTGTTGCAGGTGGCATCACGGCAGGGCTTGTCTCCGACTACATCAATGGCAGGGCCACCACATGCTGCGTCATGCTGATCTTGGCTGCCCCAGTGGTGCGTATGATCTCAAGGGCACAGCACGAGTCCTGTGAGCCCATGCTTGGCCTCTGTCACTGTGCCTGTCTCTGCATCTGTGCACACAGCTGTCTTGTGTACACACACCCGTGCACAACTATGCACACATCAGGGAGAGAAATGAGAGTCCACAGAGCAGCAGGAGAGTCCTTGAAGGAGACCAGGACTTGAGCTTTTGGAAAGGGATCAGGGACTGACGTGGTGAGAAAAGAAAGACCGGCTGCTAAAGTTCTTGACCACAGAGAGGGAAAAAACTTTCTGTTAGGCATGAGAGAAGGCTTTTTAGGATGAGGGAAACAGATTATGTTTTAGACCTTCCATTCTTGGGACACTTAAAGACTGAGAAGTCTGGGTGTAAGAGGGAGGAGGAAAAAGGCAAAATGGGGTTACAGAGCAGGACAGGGTTGTTCTGGACTCAAGGCTTCAGCCCAGCCAGGGGCACTGAGGTCTAACTCTGCTTCTCTCCCCTTCTCACAGATGTTTCTGTATAATTCCTTGGGCCAGAATGGGATCACTAGCTCCATAGGTAAGAAGACACGTCCTGCAGGTCCACAGGAAAAACATCACCTTGGGGACCCTAGGACATGGGCGTGGGGGCATCAGAGAGGCTGGGAGGGTGGAGGCCTGGGGTGTCACCGCTCTGAGGCTGTGGGTGCCCCTCATCTCTAACTGAACCATCTCTGCTGCTCCCCAGTGATGCTGATTATCTGCGGGGCCCTGGTCAATGGCCCCTATGCACTCATTACCACAGCCGTCTCGGCTGACCTGGTAAGTGAGCCATTCCTGGGGCCCAGGGGCTGCTCTGGGGTCTGCTCAGAGCCTCTGAGTTCAGCTCTTTCCCCTTTCTTGCCCTGCAAGGGCAGGACCCTCACGGTCCTTCAGAACTCACCATGGGCTCCTCTTTCCTCTCAATCTCAAGCTGTAGTTTCTTCCTTCCCCAAGTCAACCTCTTCCTGGGTGCTCAGCTGGGCCCCATACTCTGCTCTCTCTCCAGGGAACTCATGAGAGCCTGAAAGGCAATGCCAAGGCCCTCTCCACCGTCACAGCTATCATCGATGGCACAGGCTCCATAGGTCTGTGAATCTGGGCCTCCCCTTGGGCAGACCTTTCGGTGTGCTGTGTTCTGCGGGCAGGGAAGTTTGGACCCATCTCACCCGGCTGCCCTCCATACAGGTGCGGCCCTGGGCCCCCTACTGGCTGGGCTTATTTCCCCCACTGGCTGGAACAATGTCTTCTACATGCTCATCTCCGCTGACATCCTGGCCTGCTTGGTAAGACTTCTTGGGGTGCACGTAGGGATCCTGGGGGTGCTCTGTCCTGCCATACTGGAACTCTGGAGGTCCAGAGAATTGGGTCTTCTGAAACAATGAGAAAGCCACCTCTTGCTCAGAACCACTTGCTTCTTGGGGTGATCTCCTGTCCAGTGAAACTGCAACCCTTCCTCTGATGCCTGCCCCCTGCCCAGCTGGCCCTGGGAGCCGTGTGCTGGTGCTCATGCTGCCCTGCCTTCTCTTGTGCCTTGGACTCCCCACAGCTCCTCTGCCGGTTGGTGTACAAAGAGATCCTGGCTTGGAAGGCGTCCCTGAGCAGAGGCAGAGGGTGAGTCCACTGGCAGCCGAAGCCCCATCTGTCCCAACCTTACTTCCTTTGGGAACCCCGCCAGGGCTCAGCACCCTTCACCCAGTCTGCGGCTGGTTCACCCCAAACCTCGAGGACTTTGAACCAGCCTTCCCAGTGGGCAGGGTGGACCCCACCCCATCCCAGCCCCACTAACCTGTCCTCTGTTGTCCCATGTGTCTCTGTAGCTCTAGTCTGGCCCTAACCCACCCGCGATAGTATTTTCAAGTCCCATGACTTTTGTGAGTATTTTCTTCAAGTCGGTGACTAATATGCCATTAGAACACGGGCTATATGCAAATCCTCTCTCCTTGATATGATTTTTTCCCCCAACTTTCTCTTTTTTTCTTGGGAGCCAGGTCCAGAGACTCAACCTGGGCAGAGCATGGTACTTGAGAAGGGTCTCTCAGGGGGTCTGAGATGCCATAAAAGCTAGCAGCCTCTCCCCTGAAGGGCACAGGGCTTTGGACACACCCTTAGAAGAGAGGGGCCAAGGTGGGAATCCTTTTCCCACTGAACTCAGGCTGAGCTGCAGGTGACTCCTGAAGTTCAGAAACCAAGTTTTTCTGGTCCCTCTGTCTGGGGTGTGCAGAGAAAAGAAAGCAACTATTGATCAGAGCCTCTGAAACAAAATTTGAATCAAATGCCCATGCCTGGCCTGGTGAGCTGTCTGCCTGGTGTCCCTTGGTGGTGGGTGTGGGGGCAGAGTGGCTGAGGCAGGGGCTGGCCAGAGGCTGAGCTGCTCACTGGTGCTGGTGCTTGGGTGACTCTCCCTGTGGCTTTTCTGGCTCCTTTTGAGCAGGAGCCTTTTACTAATGAGGAGCTGGCTGGAGCCTGGACCTGGATGGGATGGTAAATATGAGAAGAACCCCCTGGGGCAGTGGTGGTGAACCTATGTTACATATGCCACAGTGGGCTCTGAAAGCTCTAAAGGATTTGCCATCACTGCCCTGGCATCATGGTAACCGAGTGGTATCTGAGGAAGTTCTCTGCTTTAAGTATACTGTGAGGAGAAAAACTGAAACCGGGAAGCAAGCCTAAAAGCAGGAAACATTCATTGTGTCTGTCCTGCCTTGTTCTGTCCTAGAGGAGGGGACCAGGCAATCAGACAGCCTTGGTATTTTTTGTTTGTTTGCTTTAGTAGTGCTAAGGATGGAACTCAGGCCCTTGGGCATGCTAGGCAAGCACTCCACTATTAAGCAACACCTTCAGCCCAAGACTGGACAGCTTGGCTTATTTCCTTCAGTTGAGAGATTCTGGGAGGTGAAGAAAAGAAGCAGAAAGGGAAAAGGAGGAATATTTCATGAGTGTTGCTCTCTTCCCAGAATGGAGAGCAGCCTTAGATACTGTAGCTATTCTCAGCCACCTGGAGTCAGGTGCTCTCACTTGCAGACAGGGGCTGGTTCTGATCCTGGCAGACCCAGGTCGGTGGGGCTGGCTTTTCCAGCACCAAGCAGGGCCTCCTCTATGGCAGGACTGTGGAGGCATGCAGGGATTTTTCTGGAACAGAGAGCACTGGGGTGGGGGGATCTGCAGTCCCCGGACAATCCTGGCTCTCAGACCATGGACGCATCCCCAGGTCCTCTGTGTCTTGTGTACAATGGGGATGCTTATCACTCAGTACTTGGCAGAGTTGATCTGAGGCTGACATGAGATGGACTACGTGAAACAGCTTTGTAAAGCTTCACATGTGACATCAATATCTTAAAGTCTTTTGTGTTTTTCTGGTTTATTGGCTTATTTATTGGTTCTTGCCCAAGAGGTAAAAGGGAGACCTAGTTACAAGGAGCAGAGATGAATGGCAGAGCTTATTAAGTTGCATCTCACTTTCTCTTCCATCTTCTCTCTCTTCATTGCAGCTATAAAGAAATATGAGCCTCAGTTGGAACTGAATCGTGGAGGGTCCCCACTGGGTCCCCAAACAGCTCCCCATGGGAAGACAACAGAAACTTCCACTGAGGGGAGAAACAAAGACTCCTGATCTAACCCCAACCAGCCCAGCCCAACCTACAGGGCTGCTAAGGGTGCTGAAGACTGGCCATGGAAAGGGGACTGCCAAGTATGAGGAAACCAAAGACTCAAGGTTCTGAGCCCTGGGGCTGCCAGTACCAGAGCGCATGCTCAGATTCTGAGGCAAAGACAGACGTTCTCTAGGGTCCGAGGTGTGTCTCTCCCCACCCCCAGTTAGATTTTAATCTCTGCAATCAGCCTGTGCCCTAGGGGACATCTCACCCCATTTCAAATGTGCCCAACCTTCCTTTGTCCCTTTGTCAGGAGCCAATCTTCTCTATTTCCTCAAGTTCCACCCTCTTCTTCTATCCTCCCTTTGATCTGTTTATAACTCCCTTTGTGGCTTTGATTAAAGCATTGCGACTGTTCTTCCAGGGCAAGACTAGGGTAGGGCCAGGGGGCACCTAGGGCAGGCACCCGATATCATGGGCTCCCTGGCTCATGCTGTGCCCACCCTGAGAATGAACCTCCCTTGCCTCACCCTGGTCCTTAGGCCCTGACAATGTCTCAGTGGCTGGTGACATCAAGGTCAGTACTGTGGGGACTGACAGGGCTGAGCATGACTGAAAATACCTGTGTGTATATTAACCATTTTGAAAATGAAATCCCAGGGGTTACTGAGGCCTCACTATGTGCCAGTGCTGCTGTAGGAATGAAGGGGACAATGGACAGAGAAAGGACTTTTGCCCTGAGCACTGGGGGCAGAAGAAAAGGGGATGCTGGGTCGGGGATTTAGCTCAGTGGTGCCACTGCCTGCCTTGCAAGCGCAAGGTCCTGAGTTTGATCCCCGGTACCAAAAAAGTTAAGAAAAAAAAAACAAAAAGAAAGGAAATTTTTTTTAAGCGCAAGGACCCGAGTTCAAACCCCGGTACCAAAAAAATTAAAAAAAAAAAAAAAAAAAGAAAGGAAATGGGCATGCTGCCTGGCCCACTGAGCAGCTGCTAATGTGCAGTTGCTTGGAGACACCTGTAGCACCCCTACCAGTGTTCTGATGCACACACTCCCTCCACCCCAAGTCCCAGACTGACACAGCAGGCTGGCTCCTGGCATGTCCACCTGAGCTCTTCAGCTGCCCATCAGCACCATGCAGACTTCTTTTGCCAGCTGAACCTGTGCTCATCATTAGCAGGGCTTGGCATGGCAGCAGCAAGTAGTGTTCATACAGGTGGTTGAGGCAGTGTCCTGGGGCCACCAGATTGGTGTGCAGGGGCCGGTGACCACCAGCATGCTCATGATGCCCATGACTCTTGGAGCACGCAGGGAGTCTAGAGTCCATGCTAGACACAGTCATTGCATTTATTAGGATGCTGCATGGCAGGTGTGATAGCTGAACACACCCGCCTGAGCAGTAAAGTGCAGTGTATGCTGTGTGGTGGTGACAACTCAGTAAGCCTCCTATGCATTATGCTCACTTCAGCTCAGAAAGTAGGAGTCCTCCAGCAACCTCTAAGTCCTCAGAGCCCTCAGGCGGAGAAGCTGTGATGTGTGGCTTCCTGCTCAGCTTTCTGAAGACCAGGAAGAGCTATGACATCATCACTTAGGCCGGACCCATTTGAGGAAACTGTTATTTCCCTAGGCCACTAGATGGCGATACAATCCCGTGGTAAAACCCGCCATGTTCTCTGTTGCTGGCCTGCTTTAAGCATGGAGACAGGAGGGGTTCCCTTGGGCCAACTTTGTTCTATGAAAGTCAAGCTTGAAAGGAGGACTTTTTTGAAGCCTTCTCTTCCTCAGCTTTACTTCTTACTACGTTTACATCTGTTTCCTCAAAAAATGGTAATAACATTCCGTACTTCACAGAATTGCTGTGAAGGGTGGTAAGTATTAAATGCACTCCCTGCCTTGAGGACAAGATAGGGAATATGAAAATGTTAATAAAGAACAGAAGAAATAAAGGTAGTGACTCACGGTGAGAGTGCTGCTACTGTCAGTCCAGCCCTGACGAGATGGACTGGCGGGGATGATCCCAGGAATCTGTGCAAGGCTTAGGCCTTGGATGACTGGCTTGATAAGGCAGTGAGGGAAGTGAAGCGGGGAGTGAGCATGAGACTCGAGACAAAGTGCTCCTACCAGCAGAGAAGGCGGCACTAGAGAGGTGGGAAAGGCATGTGGGAGCGCTAGAGCCCAGCTGAGCGGGGAGGGCAGCCCTGAGCTCCGCCCCTTTGCACTCACCTCCCAGCTCCAGGCTCCCTGCCCCTCAGCTGGGCACTGAGTGTTCAACAGAGGCCTGGTACCTGCCTTCTCTCTGGGCCCTCACACTCACACGGGGCTAATGCAAGAGCATTACATTAATTAGTTATTCATTTAATTTAACTTCACATTTGGTCTCAATTAAGCTTAAAATGTTCTTCCTTATAGATGCTACAATAGCACTTGTAATTAAAAAGCAATAACTCTTTTTGCGTTTCTCCTTTAGAGATCCATTGGGAGGTTGGGCTAGAGTGGGGTGGGGGATACAAGAAGCAATGGAAAGAATGGGAAAGAAGCTTTTGATAAAGCTTCAGTTGGGACTAAGACCTGGATTGAGAAGAAGGAACTCAGGATGGCCTGGGGGTTTGGGGTGGGGGTGGGGAGAGTTGCTGGAGGGAAATAAGAAGTGGATGAAGTAACATGTTGCACCTGAAGTTGTAGGGATAGGGAAATGCTGGGTGGGGGGTGGAAGGAGGTGATCCTTACAGCTGGAAGATGGGGCTGTGCAGTGTATGCATTCTGTGGTAGGTAGCATGTGCCCCTGCTGGGTCAAGATACCACATGCTAATTCCCACCTCCAGTACATATTTACCTTTACCTGGCAAATGAGACTTGGCCAATGTGATTAAGGAAGGATCTTGAGATGGGGAGACTACCTGGCTTGTCAGGGAGACCCGATGGAGCCACAAGGTTCCTTATAAATCACAGAGCAAGGCAGAAGTGTCAGAGGCTGGAAGATGCCACCCCGCACCCACCAGGGAATGCGAGTGACTTCTACATGCTGGAAACGGAAAGGAAGAGGATTCTCCCTTAGAGGCTCCAAGTCTTTTCTTTAGCCCCATAAAGCTCATTTCTAATTTTGATCTCCAGAACTCTAAGATAAATTTGTTGTCCTGAATCACTATAGTGGTTATCCATCACGATAGGAATGGGAAGCTAATACAGTAAACCTAGGAAACAGTCAATTTAGACAGGAAAACAATGAAATCCCCAAAGTTTAAAAACAAATAGGGGGACAGCCATACAGCATGTAAGCACAGAATCCTTTATATCCTTCTGGAAAAGTCTACTACTATAGCTGCTCAATGGTTTGGTGCTTATCAATAAAGGAGGCCAAAGTTTAATAGAACACAGACCTGCCAAAAACATAGGTTTGATCAGTGAAGTCCTCTGAGGTCCCAGTTGTCTTTTAATCGCTTTGCGCCAGACTCTTGCCCAATTCCTAAGATTCTGGAATTTCCACAAGAGTCAGCTGCTTCTCCACAGTGTTTTTATCAAGTAGATTTACATTGCCTGATCCTGATCCCTTCTTGTCCTGTTTCCGTCTTACATAGCAACATAGAGTAATAGAAAGGACTAGATGTGGAGCCAAACTGCCTGACTTCAAATCCTGGCCCCTGCCTCACCCTTGCACAGTGGCCTTGAGGGACCCAGCTCACCAGTCTGTGCTGTGCCCTCTGAAGTGGGGATAGTAAGAGGACCTACTTTGCAGGGCTAATGCGTGATGACAGGAGTTACTGCTTACAGCCTACTTAGAAAAATACCTGGCACATGTTTGCCAAATGTAATAAAAATTGTGTGATTTCAGCATGTGAAGTGCACTTCTTTCTAACTTTTGGGATGTATCTGGAGGATTAAAGGTTGAACTCTATGAACTATAAAATCCTTTCCAATCCTCAGTTTTTATGCTCCTATGAGGATAATCAACACTTTTCCAGGCTCCTTTCCATACGGTTCTGATTCCCACATCTGGAAACTTGTTTCTGTATAACTACAGCCAAATACTTAAAAGGTTTAAGCTAAGGAGTTAAAATGAAATTTATTTGTACAATCATTGTTACTTAGAATTATTTAATGGTACTTTTTTTACCCTTTTGGGTATAAGTTAAGGAAATGAACAGGTATAAATAGCTAAAATACAGCATTAACCAGTGAGAAAACGAGTTGTTTGAAAGCCAAAAATGATGCGTAAACTAAGAAACGAGATGTGAGGGGTCCATCTGGGAGGCTGGGCTAGTGTCACATTTTGAGTGCCACTGCTAACTAGCTATGTAGCTTTTAAAATGTGTTTCCCCCTTTTTCTGTTTTTCCTCTGTAAAATAATGGCAGCAGGTTTCTTTTTATACTGAGAATAAAACACAAACGCTTCAGATGCAGCACCAACGAAATAGTCAATAAAAGAAAAGTTTGTCTTGACAGAACAAGAAAGAGATTCCTTTGTTGGAGTAAAACCACGTTAAAGTAACTGGGATGTCTTTGTCCTGAGATGGAGGTAGGGAGACAGGGAGGACAGGCTGATCCAGTGATTGGCTGGTCCAGCAGGACCACCGCTCTGTGCCAGATAGGTGTGTGACACCGCTGTGTGTCACAGGGGTGCTAGGCACCCCCCAGGACCCCAAAGTCATGCACTTCTTAAATGCCAGATACCCTGCATCAAAAAAGGAACATTCGTATTCTATTTTTATAAATGAGAAATTTAAGGAATTTATCAAGCAATTGCCAAGTCCTTTGCTGGCTTGAGAAACTTCACATAACACAGAGCACCACCTAAAGGATCAAACAAACATCTCTATTTGGGGGAAGGGAGAAGCGGGTGGTGAGGTGGTGTTCTTTTAATTTAGCTTGATGGGAGACAAGTTTGCAAAGCCTGGAGCCTGGATTTACTCTCCCTCCCAAACTTCTAAACAGCAGGGATCTACCAGTCTCTGGAGAGGGAAGAGAACAGCATGACCTACACTGAGTCCAAGTGACCATTGAATGGTCAGGGAAACATTGAGATGATTTCTATTTCGAGGGGGGCTGCAAGCCCTGTCTCCAGGAAGACCATGACATGTGGCACCATCTCAGACTGTATACTGACTGTATATGCATCCCGTGCTCAAGTCTCTGAAATGCACTGAGCTCTCTCAGTCCTCCACTTCACGCACCAACCCAATGGGGGTTTTGTTCCAGGGCCTCGCATGATTTTCTGGAGATGCAGGAAAAAATAACCTATCATCCATTTTACTGCAGCTGGTAATTACAGACCCGGAACTACAGAAGGCAGGCCTAGTTGAAATACACTGTACAAAGTATATTTTTTTCCTCAAAGCCAGCCTTATATCAGTCAGTCACATCAGGTTTAAAAATTGCAGCATTGGTAGTGTTATTTGAGAAGGAGTTTAGTTTTTCCAACTTTAACACATTTTTCTCCATGTAAATACTCACCTCTCTACTATAAATCAATAGCTGGGCACCTTTTTTGGAGGAATAAGGGCTTTCCCAGAGTTGCTTTTTCAGCAAGTGTCGTGGGAGAAGGTGCAATGATCACTTGCGCTTGTTAGAAGGCAGGCAGCATCCCACTGTGGCAGGCCCCACATTTGTGCACAGGTGGACATCCGGAAGCTTCAGTGTTCATGTCAGAGGGGTGCCAGAGACCGTGAGCCCCAGTCTGCCCTGTTTTCCCTTCTTTCTCATGCGATAAGCATGGAGGGGTGTTCCTTGGCCAGATTATGAAACAATTTCCTTTCTTAATCTCCTCTAGGCCATAATTGTAAGTGAAATAAATCAGACACACGAATTTAAATATCAGATTCTCTGGTGTGAGAAACCCAAGAGGTAAATAAGGAGCAAAGGGAGGATAAATATTGGGAAGTAGGAAGAACATATTCAAAAGGGAAGAAGAGCAAGGGAACAAGGAGGGAAAAGGAAAAGGGGATTAAAAAAAGATTGGAAGGATACAAAGGGAAAAGATTTTGTAAATGGGGAGGTGAACGGGAAAAAAAGAATTAAGACCTATTATATATAGGTAGAAATTCCCTATGATCGCGACTGTCATGTACGGCAAATGTGTGCTGATAAAAACATAAATTTTTTTTAAACTGGAAAAAATGATTTCCTTTAAGGCTTTCTGAAGAAAGCTTTCTCTGCAAAGCTTTCCCAAACGAAGGAGATGAAGGAGATGTTTTAAGTGGAGTGACAACTCCACCTGACACCAGCCCAGAACTCTTGCTAGACAGCAGCTCTTGCCTGACATTTAGGGCTGAGCCCCTCAAGGGAGACAGGACTGGGGAACCTCCCTACCCTAACAACAGGATTCAGGCCAGAAAGCATGGAGAAGTGGCCTTAATCTCCCTGAAGCTTTCAAAATTCTACAGAGCTTAGTGGGTGTGATGGTTGACTGATTTGAGTAAATAATGCCCAACTAAACTGGCTCAGCATAGTCGGGTGTGGAAGACCCACCCTAGGGAAGATCATTGCCAGAATGCTTTTAAAAGGGAACTGAAGAAGGAAGGTTAGCTTCTGTTTCCTTTGGAAGAGCTCCAGTTTTAGCTTTCACCTTGGACATTGTCTCCTGGCTTTCAGTGCAGATCCTTCAGCCTCCTGATACGGACTCACACGGGACACTATACAGAGCTCCAGACTGGACCACAGCCCATCCATTTAATGACAAACTTCATGGAGTCTGGGAGATTAGACAGGTATCAGAATCTAATGTCGAGAATGTACATTCTCAACTAGCTCGGAGAAAGCATTAAAAGATAAAAAGAGATCACAACCCCCAAAAAACTCATCTGGTAATTAAATGAGGCACACAGAGACCACAGATCCTAGAAGAAAAAGGATCCAGAGATTTATGGCAGACACCCACCATTTATAAACCTCCCCTCTAATTCCCAAACAACCTTCAAATGTAAGATTGCTAGCTTCAGAAAGCTGTGGCTAAAAGTGTGATGTGAAAGTTAGCTGTTGAGTGTTGTTTATTGCTTTATTAGCGAAGAGGAAAGTGACTCCTGTTACCTTTATAGAGTTCTGTGGAATTATACGCAGACTGGTTGATAACATCTAAATAAGCCTTCCACATTATGCATGAAAATAACTTTTGCATTTAAGTACCTTTCCTTTCTAAGTGAGTCCAACCTCATAATTAGAAATCTCACACATACCTGTAATCCCAGCAGTTGAGAGGCTGAAGTGGGAGGATGGGAAGTTCAAGTCCTACCTGAACAACTCAGCAAGCCCTGTCTCATAAAAAAAGTCTGGGGCTGTAGCTCAGTGTGAAGACCCTGGGTTTATTCCACGGTACAAAAAAAAATTTTTTTTTTTCACACTCTTACCAAAAAGGCCCAGATTCTTCTACTAGACAGCAGAAGCCAAAGTCCTCCAAAATCCACTTACTAGTAACTACTGAAAATCTGCTGTAAGCAGATGACTATTTCCCTTTCCAAACTGACAAAATTCCCAAAGTACAGACAGCAAGAAGACAACAATCAGATGAGACTATGTCCCACAGGAACAATTTCGCAACCCTGTTTCTAGAGTCCAGGACTCAAGACAGTTATCTCAGTGAGGACTGACTCTCCTTCTGCTCTTAAAACACGAAGGCTGTAAAAACAAGGCTCCGCAGAGTGACTTTCTGCTCATCAATGGCAGCCACATGAAGCACAGGAGGCCAGGATCTCTGCTTCCTGGACAGTGCTCAGGGGGACCGCAGTGGTTTGGCGTAGACCGGCTCCAGGACATGGTGAGTTAGAACTAAGAAGAGGCTCCCGAGGAAGACAGCGCTGAGGAAAGCCAGCAGGACATAGCGCCCAATGAAAAAGGCATCCACAATCTGGGGAAAGAAAGCATTAAGATGAAATCCCTTCCACATCAGCGTCTGGGCTGTATTAATCTGAAACCTATGATGAATGCACTGAGATTCTGTTCATTCACATGTGGAACTTCCAGTAACATCCTGTCATAAGCTTCCTCTGCAAGTTCTTAAGAATGGTTTTTTTCCTCAACTCCTTGAGTAGGAGATACAAAGGATTACTAAATGCAGGGAAGGAATAACTCAATTTAGGAGGTTTATAAATGCTTCGAAATTTCTGCATGAATTCCTTCATGTTCTGCAATCAGTTACCTGAAAGCGTTAACAGGTAGCTTACTTAGTCCTAGGAAGGCTCATAAATATACATTAAAATATAATAATATATTGGGCTGGGGATTTAGCTCAGCGGTTTGGTGGCCTGCCTTGCAAGCACAAAGACCCAAGTTCAATCCCCAGTACAAAAAAAAAAACAAAACAAATATAT